AAAGCATCTTAAAGTCTCAAAAGCAGTCAAATTGGTCGACTATAACGACTCACGAGAAGTGATTAAGATTTGGTGATGCGCCCGTTCTTTCCTTCATTACTGCCGTCAACCTTTTCGTCACACGGCCGCCGCGCGGCGCTCTGCGGTTGTTTCGTGACATTCACATGATCTAAGAATTTACTTGTTCTAATTCTGTTTATTTCCTCGCTATCGAGTAGAGAGAAATTTATATAATGCTGCGCGGAAAAAGGCGAATTTTCGGCAGAGAAACTCTTATTACAGGGTCCTGGAAACGAAAAAGTGGATCAATCCAGTTGCTAAATTTATAGAAAAAAAGTCCTCTAACACGTGATGTAGCCGGAATTCATGTTTAGTGGGTCCTGGATACCGAAAAATCGAATGTCGGCAAAACGTCTGTCCGTCAGTCCGTCTGTCTGTCTGTGAACACGCTTGTGACTGAACCGTTCAGCCTATTTTCTCCAAATTGATATTCTTCAATCGATCTGGCTGATGTAGCGGCCTCTTGAATTTGAAAAAAATATTTTAATTTTGAGGGTACTTTACATAAAGCCTCTGGGACATTTTCCAAATTTTCAAAAAAATGGCTCCATTGTTTTTTATTTTATCTTTTTTGTTGGATAGTGTGATGGACCTTTAAGAGATTGTTGCAGGTCTTATGTTCATTAAAAACTTCGTTTTTTCTGAAATTCCAATAGTTCATAATTTTTTCGGAGTCTTCCTACAACTAAAATATTAAAGATAAAGATATTTTTCCTTAACGAACTTTGCTCCTTAAAGCTAGATTTGGAAATAAGGTCATGTATAATATTTCGAGAATTTGCTGAGAAAGTACTTGCTGTTTTAGCACTACTAGTTACATAGGCGGTACCTCTTTCATAGATTGGTTCCTTAGAAGTTTTTAGCAAACATTTCGAAGAACGATGTTAATGTGTTTATTTACTTGAAAGAGTTCCAGGAAAGTCCCAGATTGTTTTTGAGGCTGCTTTGAAATAGAAGTTTTCCGCTTCAAACAACGTTTTAAATAATTTAGTTATCGGTCGTTGTTCGTGTGTATTCATGAATTAAGAAACATGACTTGTAATTAATTATTCAAGAAATGAGCTTACAGATCTTTGACCTCAGAATAAGTCTCTCCATTTTTTCAAGTGATCCTGTTTGTTGAATTATTTGAATATTTAAAAAAAGCCTAGCTTACTTATACTTGTCATTTAACAAAAGCATTTTGTCAGTTTTTGTACACGAATCGTTTTTCACAGAGTTCAGATGGGAGATTTTTTTATCGGAGACAAAGGTAATTCTATTAAGCAGTACCTCTGTACACTATTGTGTCTAAGGTAAACGTGGATCCTAATCTACAAGAACAATCGATGAATAAAACTCTTTATAAAATAAATTGTTTTTATTATAGTTCGATTTTGAACATGATGCTACATGGAAGATTTTCTAAGAAAATTGAGACATATTTAGGGGTCAAGATGATGTGACATGGTATGCCTTCTTCCACATCGTAATACGCTTCTATAACTCTTGATTGCCTATAACGAGACGTTGGCAGCTGGCAACGTTACAAAACACATAACAATGACCAGAGAGCCTTTCCCACCTGCTCAGAAAGGACAAAGCAACAATGAATGACACATGAATCAATACATCAATGATTCGTTCAAAATTTTAAATAAACGAATCATTAAATTACAAAAGCGAGCATTTCAAATCAAAGTATAAAACACAACTTCGATTCTTAGCTACTTCTGCTCTAACCAACCGGCCTTTCAGGTCTTATTACTTTCGAGCGACACTTGATGCCAATGACAATGTTCTCGTCGAATGAATTTTGAAATACAATACATGTTTGATTTTTATGTTTAGGTTTGGACTTGACTCATCGCCTACGTCGCGGGGCGCGGTGATCTAGTTGAAACAGGCACCTCTAGGGCGATTCAAAAGATGAGAAGATCATCCCCTGGGGCTGTAGGACATAGCTCAAAAAACGTTTTCTCTTCCGACTCCAGAAGCGTTGTGATATAATAAATCGGGAACCAAACAAACGACAACACATACGTGTGATAAGCTCAAAGCTAACACTTTTGAGGAGTTAGTGGTATGAATAACAGAAATGCAAGTATGGCGGTCTGTAGGTGACGGCGAGAGGCTGCGCGATTTTATGAATGTGTCGAAAAAACTTAGCCCTTGGGGTACACTGCTAATTCTTGTTGTATATTGTTCATCACCATAGTGTTAAAGAGTGGTATACCATGCAGAAGCGAAGCCTTATTGAATTCAACATGTTATTTTTATGCCTTCTTGGATTACGAGATCAAAGCTACTTTTTGGTCCAATGGTAGAAACAATTTTTTCGTCGTAAATTATGACTGTGCCATGCCGTCATGGCGTCTTTGTGTACCCGCCATACTGATTCAAAGAAGTAAAATTGTTCTCTAGAATATGTATCGTGAGTAAACACACGAGAAAAATATTTTTGAATTTATTTTACTGTCTACAAGTCGAGTCTATAGGTACTATACCAGTTGGATATTTCGAATGTGAAAAATTAACCACTTAATGTATGTTTTAATAAGTGTGACATACACACGTTCAACCGCTATACTTTGTGTTTTTGACAAAAATTTAATCTATATGCCAAAATCATGTCTCTAAAGTGAGGAATAATTTTTGTATATTTATAAAATATTTTAATAATATAGGTGGAGTTGTTTGAATGATACTAAACTCATAATTCAAGAAAGTTTAAAAGTGACACGTTGAATTCAAAATAACGTATAGTTTAAGACGCTACATCAGCAGGGCATACCTCTCCTTCACTCTTTGGTTAACTAATGAGCAATAAACAACAAGAATTAGGTGTGTATTCATTCCTCAAGGGCTTAGTTTTTTCGACACATTCAAAATATTGCGTAGCCAAACGCCGACACCTCCAGGCCATCAAACTTGCGTTTCTCTATTATTCTTAACACTGACTCACTTCTCAAAAAGTTTTAACTTTGAGCTTATCATACGTGTTTTGTACTGGACCCCGGTCTATAGGGGCCAACACACGATAAGACGAAAGGCTGTCAGTTTCAACTTTGAGCGATTTCGATCGTTTTCGCTATACTTGGAAGAGTATGTTGTTAAAAACACGACCAAACTAAATTGCCTTATAACTAGCAATTCGATAGTTATACATTTCCCTTAAATATCAAAGGAAATATTGTATTTGGTGGTTACATTCAGAAAAATAAATTATGCGATGGGGTCTTTTCTCCTTCCCTCCTCAATGAGCGGGAATCAATAAGACAGTTAACGTTCATTTGTGTATTTATAAATTCCCACATATATGTGGAATTGAACATTAATTTATTTAACAAATAATTAATTGAATATTTAATTAAATAACTGTTTAATTGAAAATTAATTTAATAATGTTTGATAAATCACTTCGAACATCACATAAATTAAGTTATAATTTTTTATATGTTTTGTCAACTTGAATGGCCGAGGTGTCTTGAGCGTGTGTCGACTCAGCGCCTCGGTCTGAAGGGTCCCGGTTTCGAGTCCCGCCGTGAGCATGGTTGTTTGTCCCTTGTCTTTCTTGTATGTGTTGCCGCGGAAGGCCTTGTGAGTCTGTATACCGCAGACCGAGGATTCCGCAAGTGAGCTAGTGTCCAATACAAAGGTTAATATGTGTCCTCATGAGGAACATAGTCGGGTTCTCCCTCTCATTTGTTTGGTAGTGTAGTGAAGGAGGGTCCTCACTAAACGCCAGGCCTGAGATCTCCATTAATAGACTTCCGGTCGAGTTTACAGAGTATGTTTTGCGGCTTCGGGGATATAACGGTTAGCGTTTCGAGCTGTTACACCCAGGTTTGCCGGATCAAACCTGATCTAAGCCGTGTGTTTTCAAGGCCGTGAAAATCGTTCGTACGCCTTCCTTCGGAGGGGAAGTGAAGCCGACTGGCCCATGTTGTAGATATGCTCCATTTGAAAGAACCTCAAGCCTAAAAGAAGCTTCTGAGCTAAATTTAAATCTCCTCTTTCTTCACCTTAATGGTACTCCTCTCTCTCCGCTAAATCGTGAAAGGAGCGTTGCGAATTATGTGTGGTCAAGAGCAGGATTGATGACCTGAGTTTCTCCATTTAAAATAAGGCATCATTAAATTGTATTGAACTGAGTATGTAGAATCCTTTACTTGAATTTGTACTTTAGAGGTGTACATGAAATAAAACAATATTTATTTATCTTACAAGTAGTACCTAAAATATACAATGATATTCTAGTTAGTTCACTAGCGTGTGGGCGTAATTACTATTGAGCATTATGTAATACATAAGCACGCGCATGTGGAAGCGTGGCCACTATGAAACTTTTGAACGGAGCCTCCTTGCATTTTATTTTCATAAATATGTTCAACTCTTTATTTTTCCATTTTTTAACCTGACCGTTTGAGAAATTGTAATATCTTTGGAGAAAATTCTCTCTAAGCCACTTGACAATCGTGTAAATAGTTTACCGTAAATTAAATTTTATTTATTCATATTGTGTAATTAGAATTATGGTTTCATTTTTTCCTTATTGTATGTTATATTTATTTACTAATGAAATGCCATGAGTGAATAAAAAAGTACAATGAAAAAGGGGGACCAGAAATGCAGTTGACTTCCCTCTTGTAGGGTTCCTCAGCCTATGCTAATCCACAACGTTTTGTCTCATCCGATCGCCTGTTTAACATTTTGATATATTTTGTCAATGTATCTACATGTATGCTTAATAGTATTGTATTGACTTAGGGGCTGTACCTTTATTACATCTCATATAATAATTACAGAAAGTTTACTTTTTATGTCTCTCCATCTTTGGATATAATAATGAGCCATTTAATCTACTCCGAACACGAAAGCATACATATGCGATCAGATAAGATTTAATATGGTCATGTATTGTTCAATATACTCGTCTCATATTTTATTTTTATTTTTAGCTTGTTACTTGATGATGGAATATGTTTTCCAAAATGGATGTTCTGGAAAAGAAGACGCTATGTAGTAACTCTTATGGCATTCTTTGGCTTTTTGAACGTATTTGCATTGCGAGTCAATGTGAGCGTGGGGGTTACCGCCATGGTATCCAACCGTCCAGGCCCCAACGGAACCATTGTAAGTCAATGTCATATATGTTACGTTTTTTACAATGTATTATATTTGGTGACTATTCCTTAATATGTTCCTTCCAAACTTTTGTAGGGACCTGAATTCAACTGGGACTCAAAAATGCAAGGATTAGCGTTAGGTGCTTATTTCTATGGATATATTACTACTCAAATTTTAGGAGGTTGGTTGGCAGCTCGAGTGGGAGGTCATCGATTGTTTGGATTTGGAGTTGGAATTACTGCCGCTCTTACTTTATTGACACCTCTTCTTGCCAGAATTAGTATATATTTATTTGTTGCCATCCGAATTATTGAAGGTATTTTTGAAGTAAGTTGGTAATATAAACATCAATTTTTTTTGTTATTGAAATATTCTTCTTTTTATTGTGTTCCGTGTTTTAATACATATTCTACAAAGTAATCTGGTATCCTACCAGTGTCCATGTACCAAGTGTCCGTCGTTGCCATGCAGTCTGTAAGGACTCTTCTCCGGTGGTTGCGGCATGCGTGAAAAGCGTCGGCAACTAATAGGCCTCACTTACCTTTAGTGACATTACGCGGTCAAATGGGAAAACGTTTTACGATATTTTAACCACAACAACAACAACAACAATAACAACAACCAACAATAATAAATAATAATAATAATAATAATAATAATAATAATAATAATAATAATAATAAATAATAAGTCGGCTCCGTAAACGCAGACGGATGCAGAAGCCGTTGCCTGCGCCGAGGAGGCTAAAGGCGTGTCGTATTTGTGATTGTCCCTTCACCCCTCATCATCATCCTATCGTCTTATAATTCGCACTTCAAGGCGTAACAACCTTGTTGTAATCCAAGGATACAGCTGAAAAGCTGATCCTGGAAGAGTTACACATGTGGTCGTGTAGCGTGGTCAGTAATGACCTATACGCCAATAATAATAATAATAATAATAATAATATAATAATAATAATAATAATAATAATAATATTTTTCTTGAGGTTTATATACAATTACAATCGTGTATGACGAGTCGATATATGTCTTGGGTGCAGAGAGTAAAGTTACTGTCAAGAAGCAAAGCAAGGGACCATCTCAGCATTTGCTCAAAGGACCAGGGAAACTGGACTAAAAACCTGATAGAGATGGCCATTTTCGGAGAATGGCCACTAAGCTCACGTGACAAGTCTCACACACTAAAGTGTAGATGATGTTGGTCAAGTACGTATACGCACGTCGTTATTGGCCAAAAAGTCGGGATACATTCCTTCATTCACTACGTGATGTTGCTGAAACTACGTGGATCCGATTAGCTGCCGATGCTTCTTGTGCTTACCCCCGCCATTCCTCCACCACGAGGTTGAGCCTCCTTAAAGCTTCATTGTCATTACTCACAGTTATAAAAAGTAGTGCGAATTGACAACGATCAGCTGGGACGCTGTTATGCATTTGGGAGCTTCGTTACGACTTAATTTTTGATACTGAATCTCCTGATTGGATAACTGCTTATTCGCTAACGTTTTAATTAAGTAGAGACTTTTTCCGGCCACCATTCGGGGCAAACAAGGTGTCATTTGATCAGGGCGGTTCAGACAATCATGTGTGAGGGTGGAGGGGAGGCATAAAAGATTTTTGTTAAACATATTTATCATATTATATATTATTTTTGTAGTGTATATGTGATACTATGAAATATTATTTTATAAATAATTACATAAATATATCAAACATTTGAATCAATTTTGCCAAATATAGGAAGATAACAAATGATAACTTTTTGCCTTTTGGGGGGTTGTGCATGCCCCCCCCCCCCTCCTGGATCCTCCTTTGCATTCAATGTGCTTCAGCGTGCAGATGGAGAAATGTCCATTTTCTCAAATCTTTCTGAAACAATATAAGAGTGCTTGAAACAATGTGTCTTTTTTTAGGGGAGAAGTGCATCTGAAATGTGTGGGGGGGTATATACCCAATGAGGTGAACATTCGATTCCTCTGAATAAACTCTATTTTACGCCAGAACATTCTACAGCATTCCAGAAAAAAACTTGTTTTGGGAGATTTTGAAGCACCTAGTAGAGAAACACTGTAAATTACTATTTTGCCTCCAGACGTTATTAGCCTTTCTCATTTAACATGAACAGTGTTGACTTATTTAATATGATTGACAATAATTAAACCTAAACCTAATTTCATTTTTTAAAGCATTTCTTTCAATATTCTTTTGTATATTTTCCTATGCCTAAGAATGGTTGAGCCAGGCAACTGTTTTATGTTTAACATTTGTTTTTATTATGAACTTGCCAGCCCAAAAAATGTTAACATTGAAATACACACTAAGGTGTGACAAGCTAGTTTTTTGAGAAATTATGATAAAATCATATTTGCGAGTCAGATTATTATTAGTCTCTGAAATAATTTTGTATATTTAATGGTTGAAGACATGAAATACCTAATGAAATTTCTTTCAGTTTTTATTTTAAATGAAAAATAGCTTTCTGATTTCCCTGAAAATGGAAAATTGTGGAATGTGTTTTTTGAATTATCAAACATGTCCTTTGGTGTAGTAGGGATTTGCTCTGTGGTGAAGCAAGATTTTGGCTAAGGGGAGGCAAAATGTTTGCTGGTGGAAGGGGTTCCTAGAGGTTTTTAACAATTTTTACGTTACGTTGTCCTACTATGAAATGTGATTTAGGTATCAAATATTTTCAATAACAGTGTAATTTATATTTAAAAATAATATTTTATAGATATATTTTTGAAGTTCATTTGATATTTTGAACTTCATACCCAATTTTTAGATTTTGGGAGGAAGTGTCCAAATCTTCTAGCAACACTCATGAATACATCTATTTCATTCATATTATAGTATTTTTCTTGTGAAATTCAAACTGAGTTTAGTTTCCAGGGTGTAGGGGTACTAAGTATTTATTGTCCTGCTTGAAAAGATGCAATGTTTTTACTGCATTAAAAAAATGTTCAATAATATTTATTATTTTAACACTTAAAATAGTTAATTCTGATAAAAATGTTTGCTCTATAAGGGAGTGTCTTACCCCAGCATGCATGATGTTTGGGCTCATTGGACCCCACCATTGGAACGCAGCCGTCTGACTACTGTTGCATATTCTGGCAGTTACATAGGCATTGTAATTGCTATGACAGGATCTGGAATCCTTGCAGCTAATGTTGGTTGGCCATCAGTATTTTATGTATTTGGTGGGTATATTTTTTATTTTGTCTTTACATGATCTATTAGAGGAATGTTATATTAATATGATTCTTCAGGTGCAATTGGAGTTGTTTGGTATATAGGATGGTTGATGCTAGTCAATAGAGGCCCCACAGAGGATAAATATATTGATCCAAGAGAGTTGAAATATTTATTGTCTCATTTGGGACCTCAGAAGAAGGTAATTTTATCATCTGACAGTTTTCTGTGTATGTATTTCACAAATTTATGAATAAATAGTAAATTACAAAATTGTTGGAGATATTGAGAAATATTAGTGAAAATTTCCCTGACAAATTGTTAGAGAATGTATCATTAATGTTCTCATTTAGTGCATCCAGAAATAGTCACTTATGCCCAGCTTTTCACTCATCTATCAGATGTGTGAATAGCTGGAATATAGTCTGAAATATATATTACTTTATCTCTTATGAATTTCTTATTTTGTCACAATAATCTCCAGAAGTTAAAAAAATTGATTTTTGGATTTTATAGAGGAAATGAGATGTTATGATTTTTTTATTTACAGGTCACTAAACATCCATGGGGTCATTTCTTCCGCTCTCCTGCAGTGTGGGCCATAATTGTAGCTAATTTTTCTCTGAATTGGGGATTCTATACCCTTATGACTCAGTTACCTATGTTCATGAAAGGTATGAAAAATAAAAATGAATTAAGTTCAGTCATTTTTTAAAGAGAGATATTTGAATCAAATTAACACAGATACTTATGTAACATGCTATAGGTTATCTTAAAGTATTCCATTAAGTAAATTCATAGAAGAGTATTTGTTAACTTATTCGCAACATTTATTTTTACAACAATAACAACACTTATTTTTACATTATGTAAAACATGTGTAATGAGATAGATGTTTTTTAAATGGGAAATGATATTGCTGTTGGGTAATATAACTGTTGACTTTCTGGTCAAAACTTTAATAAAATTGTAATTTACAGATACGCTGGGTTTTGACTTAGAGCAAGCTGGATTTTTATCAGCACTGCCTTATTTGATTGTGGCAATTACTATGCAAATTTCTGGACAAATAGCTGATTGGATTTTGATAAAAAATATTCTTACCACAACACAGGTAAAATTTAAAGTATCTTGAAGAGGAATATTTTTTAAGAAACTGAAAACAACATTGACATGTTTATTTTATGTAGGTTCGGAAATTGTTCTGTTGCTTTGCTTTCATAAGTCAGTCCTTTTTCATGCTCTTGACAGCATTTGTGACATCACCTGCTAGTGCTGTTGCTTGTTTGTCTTTTGCTGTTGGTATGGGTTCATTTGCAGAATCTGGATTTTTGTAAGTACATAGTATACCTTTTTTTAGCTCTTGTTAATCTATCTCAATTATTTACTTTGAAACGGAATCATTTAGATAATTTATGAATCATTTTTTTTTAGTGTAAATCATTTAGATCTGGCTCCACAACATGCAAGTGTTCTGATGGGAATTGGCAACACAGCTGGTACCCTCCCTGGCATTATAAGTCCAACTCTTACTGGGTACATTGTTACAAACAAGGTAGGTATGAAAGATTATGACTATTGGATTTTTAACATATCTTTCTCAAATTTTAAATTTTTTTTCTCTTTTGTTTTTCATCTATTCTTTAGCAGAGAACTTTCGGTTAAGTAATGCATCGTAAATTTTAACTGATATTTTTCTTTCTTGTTATAAACTTGATATCTAGATTTATTTAAGTAAGAAACTGATTTACTGATTTACTATTGTTTAAGTTGATAAAACTCTTACATTACACAATATTGATATGTTTGTCTATCAGTGTGATCATAATTTTTTACCTCATCTTTATCTTACAGACACCAGAGGAGTGGAGAATTGTATTTTACATAGCAAGTGGTGTTTATTTTGGTGGTGCAATTTTCTACAGTATTTTTGCTTCTGGTGAGAGACAAAAGTGGGCAGAGGAGGTGGAGGAGGAAAGAGAAGAAGAGAAATATACAGAAGAGTCATATATTAACATAGTGTCAAAGAGAGGACATTCATATACAAATACTGCATATGTTGTAGATTGATAACTATTTTTCTTTAGTTCTTTTATATTTTCGAAAGATCTTGATTTCATTTTTTATACACACTGTTATTCTGTGTATTAAAGAGAGAGTTAGAAATAAGATGTGTCTCTGTTAAAAAATGTAATTTTTGTTGTGTTTTCTTGTTTGTAGGACTATTAAGAATCTAAAAACTTCATTTAGCAATTAAAGTGAAAAGCTTTTTTTTCGCTGATGTTTTGTTGATGTAATGACATAATTGTAATAGATTAATTCATTTTAATTAATTTGGGAACTACTTTTTGAAATGTATTTATTCTTTTAAAAGAAATCTCTTAAGTTGTAATATTCAAATTTTGCCTTTTTATAAAGAAAAATGCTCCTTTATGTATAATAATAAAGTTTTCGGAATAATATAAAATCTCTGTGAATGAAAAATAGAAATTATGTTAATGATTTATTCGTATTTAGTAGGAAGTGAAATTTACAGGAAGTGACTACTGGAGATCATAATATTCTGTACTTGTTATTTGTTTACTGTACAGTATTGTGTTCATAAAATTGTTTTTTATTAATACATTTTTTTACAAAGTATAATGTTTTTTACTGGCTCCTAACCAATTATTATTGAACCCAAGACAATTGTTCATGAAAAATGCATCATGAATTTAGTTTTTATCATTACAATCTCAATTTTGTAAAATTGATTGTCTTTGTAGAATCTTATGAAGTGAACACAAAAAATTGAAAATTGTAAAAAACCTGTGAAAAAAATATAAGCATGTTCAAGGGACAGTATTAAAAATTTCTATTGTAATTATTATAACATGTGTAGTAACAAACCAAGACCACGAGGTGTAATGTCAACCAGAGAGCAGAAAATTATGGATATGGTATTTAAGAACTGTCCTGAAAATGGAAAGGAACATTCTCTCTCATAACAGGTATGACAGTTATGTGATCAGGTATGTGACAGTTATGTGATCAGGTATGTGACAGTTTATTTATATATTGATGTGTATAGTTTTCCAGAAATTCACATACTTGCACTGGATTCCTTAATTTTTACATAGGTATATCTGCATAAACCATATCATGACACAAATCATTAGTCGAGTCCATGCCACGTCGTGTTGTGGCACTTTTGCGTGCTCGCGGGGGCCCTACACGATATTAGGCAGGTGTACCAGTCTTTTTGACTATTCAGTGTATTATATCTACACAAATTAAGCCTCACAAGCGCTGAAAATAAAATGCAATTCAAGTTACAAAAACAGAGGAAGAGTAATGGTGATACAACAGCACATCCTTTCTGTATTATAGCTAATGTTTACCAATTTTCACAAATTACATTGAATCTTCTACCCTACAAACACTTCAGCTATCTCTTGAAAACTGGAAGAAGGAAACCCAAAATTATGTGAAAACTAGAAGTTAAAACATTGTACATAAGATTATTATTTTAAAATTAAATATTGGAAAATATAATGCATTAACAAATCTCAAGCTTCAGTATTAAGGACACCGAGCAGGTAAATAGCAGCAGACAAAACAACATTAAATAACCCAAAGTTATGCAAGAACTCGACTACTAATATCTACAAAAATGATTACTTGAAGTAATTGAAATATTTCATATTGAGAAATAAATTGCTTTATAAAAATTGTTAAATATGCTGATCTACTGTAGGTAAAATACAGATTCAAAAAAATTAATTTTTGTCATTTTTGAAATGTTTGAGTTTTTTACTAGAAATTGAAGATATGTCAAATTATTAATCAAACTCTGCTCTTTTTATGAAAAGTATTTGAAGAAAAATTTGTTATTGTTTTTGGGAATATCTTAATTACATGTATTTTTTAAAAATTGTCTGCTTTTCATTTAAAATTATGCAAAAACGACTGATATTTTGAAGAAAGTGACATTAATCAAACATCTTTTTTCCAAAAAACATTTTCGTTATCAAAAAAATTATTCATCTTCAAAAATTCTAGATTTCTCTATGAAGAATAGATGCCTTCATATAATTATTTAAAAAATAAAAAACGCATATCAAAAGTTTTTTTTAGTGTCATTAGAACGCTTAACTACTACTTATAAGTTTTTAAAAGTGCATGACATCATTTAAAGATCTAAAATTGAGGAATAAGTTGAATTGAGGGATAAATCTGTCTTTAATATTGGAGGTGTAGGAGAGAACCGAAAATAAATTTGAGCTTTGCAATGTTCAAAATTCCGTAGGTTTTAATGAAAAATAAAATAAAATAACTACATTCATTTTCCAGGAAATGGTAAAAATGTTATTGTGGCATCAAGTATCAAGTTAAGTATATATTAAAAATATTAAAATGACTTAATGATCTCCACCCAAGAACATCATTAGATCTTAGTCCCACAATATGTGTAAAATTAAAAAATGAGTTACAAATATAATTTCAAGGTCAGTAAATTGACTCTTTGTTAATATGCTTCTTATAATTTGCATTTATTTTTAAAGTAAGTTTTGGCAAAGTTGGATACTTGTCTGTCCGGGTTGAACCGCGTCTCAGTCAATTGAGCTGACGTGTCGGCCATCGTGTGGTGGGCGTCTTCAGGGCTATTCTGCTTACGCGGTTCACCCCGGACAGCCAGGTATCCAATGACTCCGCCAGCGGAAGCCTACGAACACAGTTTGACAAAGTTGCCCTCACGGTCTTATTCATGAACTTCCGCACGTGGCGTCCACACACACACACACACACACACACACACACACACACACACACACACACACACACACACACACACTCACACACACACACACACAAACACATGCAACTGTAAATGTACTTCACAGAAACTGTGTGACCCACTCGCCTTGAAATTCGCGCTATTTCCCATCGTATCCAGTATTTCCCAACGTACAACGCCTAAGGATTGACTACCATCGAGCTACTATAATAAATGGTTTCAAACAAAATGAAAAGTTACCTTTATTAAGAATAACATTGAATTAGTAGCAAATTATATTGGATTACGATCAATGAAAAAAATTAAAACAACTAAAACGCATTTCAAAAGCTTTTTCCTTAGTGTCATTAGTACACACAACAACTACAAGACTGTCATGTACCTCGAAACAGAGGATAATGCAATGTATATATAATGTACCTGAAAATGAACCTTATAATTCCAATCGTGGTGGTCGTAAATACGATTATGTACACAAAAGGACCCTTGTATTGTATTGGGGCCGCGAAGCACTGCTTTCTGGTCTTGAGGAGAGATTACTTCGACGCGTGCAAGATATGAGAAAGTCAATGAAAAGCAACCTTGTGTGGTAGTTGGAAGTCTTTGCTTATCACTCATAATTTGTGAAAATTATGCTGCTATCAATTAGCAAAATTGCCGATGATCTAAAAAGATTTCCTATCAGTTAGATAAAATCGTTTTAAAGATAGTTCCCCATTCAAAAGCGGCAATTTCATTTCTGATATTCGGTCTCCTTGAGTCAGCAATTTTCTGTCTTTAAATGTCATTCCAGGTGACGTTCATGTATTCGTATTTTTTCAAATTCTTATGAACTTTAGAAGAAAACCGTTCGGTTCCTGAGTATTCGTGTTGTGCCGATTATATTCTGTTATTTTAGATTCCAGATTTCTAACAAATGAGAAATCTCGTCAAACAGTTGTAAGGCTGTTATGAATGTTTTGAGAAGAAAAAGAAAATTGTGTTAAAACTGACTGGATGAACTATTGGTGCAAATTGTCCTAATCGAAAATGCGTGTAAGTATGTGAAGTGAGCATTGTAATTTGGTAGACATGTGGAATGGCAACTTCTTTCAAAATTCTCTCTTAAATGTCTAAATGATTCTGTCTAGTTGTTTACCCTTCCAATCTACTTTTTATGCTGGTTTCTACTATGCACTTAGAAAATCATACTTACATCTTGTCTTATCATAATTATCCTGAAAACGAATGCAACTGACCGGAAGACATTCTACGAACCATTCAAAACATTACTTCGAACATATAAAGAAATCATTTGGTAGTAGATATCTAGGTCGTGATGTATGAATAATGTTTTGAAAATGTTCATGATAATTTGATCTACATTTTACATTTCATATTGGGTACAATTTAGAGAAAAAATCGTAAATTGCATTAGTAAATTGTTTTCACGTATAAAAAGTTAATTTACATTATGTTACGAAATCTGTTTTAAAAAAATATTTGTTCATTTCTATTTTCGTAAATATTTGATTATATAACAATTTTTTAACGTTATCATGTAATATCATTGTCGGATTGAGAGACTCAACACTCGTGTTAAATATTTTTTCGCTATTTAAATGAGTTTTAGAATTAAATGTTTGTGAGAAAAGAAAACTATTGCACTTCATACTAGTTGAGTTTAATTTTATTTAATTTATTTGAAGTACGCTTTAAATTTTTTAAATTAATATTTTATGAATTTTGGTATTAAATTACTAGCCAAGCTAACGGGAGAGATAGTTTTGTGTAATTAGATCTGTGGGTTTTGTGTAATAGGATCTGTGAGTTCAGAGGAATACGTTTTGCTTCGTATATTTTGCCCTTGAATTTTTATATCATAATACAGTGTGCCAGGGAAATCTCTCTGCAGTGGCATCAGTGTCTGGTGAAAGTGGTAGCCAAAGAGATGCTAGCAACAAAAATTATGTAGGTAACACGAACTGCAGCTAGTAACAAATGAAAACGTACATTGCGTACTCACTACAATCATAAAAGGTGCTGGAATTGTGGGCCTTCACTTGTTTCCCAGTTATCTAGTTGCTACCAACATAAATGTAATTTTGAATAGGAGGCCATGATTCGGCTCGGTACGGAGAGACTTTCCCGGCACACTGCAATGCCTTTGATATTTTATGTTTTGTTTGAATGTACTTGCATTCGTCTTCTGAAATGCTGTTTTTCGTCACAAGATGTGTCTGTCTGGATTAGGGAATACTTACCTCTTGCTCCAGAATGGATGGCAACGATGAATGAGTGGAGTGAACGAATAAGTCATTTGTCACATGATACGTCCATGTTATGTAGGTATTGAAATGTCACAATTACTCCTGACCTAAGCTTTAACACACAGATTTTGGAAGCAGAACTCTGGGAACTGCGAATTTGATTAAAGATAATAACCCTCGTGTCACCTCAACAAATTAAATGGGGATCGATTAATTAACAATTCCGGGCATGCCAACGGCTAAGGTCATTAGTCTCGTAAGTGTAGTTCATGTTTTCCCTTGAGAGCAGACGGTGATCTTCCTTCGTTGGTTGGTGAGACCCGGCGACAAACCTTCCCATAGGCTAGCGGAGTTTGCCCCCAACAGATAGCTGCCACTAGCGGAGCATCGCCTCAGGCGGAACAAGCTGTAATCTCCCGACCTGCCTCCCGTCATGTGTGATGGTGTGGTACATGTAAGGGTGTGTGTAAGTAAGTGGTGAGGATGGGATAAGAAAGAGGAAGGAAAGATCACGTGCAGTCCGTGGCCCGTTTGTTAGGGTCCTGCTCCGACGTTTGCCTAGTGGTGATCAGAAAACTTTACCGATCAGAGCAACCGACCGCAAGAATTCTTCTCCAGACAGCGACAGAACGCAACCTAGCTAGAGACGAAAATCCTGCCACCGTCGAGACTCCAACCTAGGAGTTCCCGGTCAGAGGCATTACAGTGACATCAGTTGATACCCTAAGACACCGCTCCCGAGATATGAAATGGTAATAACAAGTTAGCCAATGTGAGTATTTTTTGATTGTAGGCGCTTCATCTACTGAG